TTTGTCATTCTCGCAGAGAGACGGAAAAAGAGAGCGATGCCTCGTCCCAGAGGGAGCGGCGACTGCTTCTCCTTGATGTTTTCTCAGACTCTGTATCCTGTATTCATTTCTTCCCACTCTCAGAGATGTTTTTTTTTTTTTTTGTTTGCTTTTTTTTTTGTTTTCTTTGTGTTCCAGCATTCTCTGGAAACAGCAGGAGCTGACAGTTCAAAACCAAAAGGCATTTTGTTGAGCAAATTGTGTAACCCCGATGCCCAGGAGGTGGACCCAAAAAACATCAATAAAATGATCCGTGTAGAAGCAAGAAATCTGAGCGGTCACAAAATCAAACATGTTGAAAACAAATTCCCTGCTTAGTCAAATCTGGTTTGAAGAGAAAACAATGACAAGCAGTGAAATTAGCAACCAAACCGTCCGTTCATCACAGATAACACAACGACCACATTAGCTTCAATTGTGTGTGTGTGTGAGTCAAACCTGATATTAGCTTATTGCAAATATAGCAGCACTGGAAAGACAATTATTAGACAAGACTTCAGAACAAAGAGCGCTGACAAGCTCTGTTCAGTATTTATCGTGCTCAAGATTCTTTAAAAAAGATCTGACATCATGTGATGTTTGCAACACTGTGAATCCCAAAATCCACTGGAGGGTTTGAACGGTATGTTCATTCCAAATTACCAAAACTTTACCATTTACAAGAGCCTAAAACTGTAAAAATGGAACAAAAAAGGTCTGAATTTGGTTCTGTCACTGATTTATTATAGGTCTTCTGGAAATATGACAAAATTTGCTGAGTCAAAAATACATTTATATACTAATGTTTAGTTCATGTCTTGTGGCCATTTTCACATCAACGAGGTGCTTTTATTCACCGTTCACGAGCTTGTGGTTGTACCTTTGGCTGCTCCTCTTGACACAATTGAAGTTAAAATAAAAAAAAAAAATGCTTTCTTTCTGACACACACTTGTTTCTTCATCATAGTCCACAGGTTCCTGATGGAGTCTAAGTCAGGACTACCAGGACAAAACTTTAATTCTAGCTGGATTTAGTCATTTCTTCTTCTTTGATGTGTGTTTGGGGTCATTGTCTTGTTTATTGTCCAAAACCAAACCTCCTGACTGATTGGTTTTTGATGAAATTAGAGGCAATCCAAGCTTCTTCATTATTCCGTTTGCTTTGTGTAACGCACAAGTTCTGGCAACAAAACAGCTCCAGACCATAATACTGCCACCACCATGCTGGACAGTCGGTTTTGTGTTCTTTGGGTTAAAGACCTCACCTTCTTTCCTCCAAACAGAACTTTCCTCCAGAAGGCCTCTGGCAGCAGCAAACTTTGGTCAAGCCCTTCCAGAGGACACGTTTCCTTCTCAGCAGCACCATGTTGACGTAAAACACACTTGATTATGACCCTGACACCTGTTTTCCAGCAGCTTCTAGTTCATTGCAGACCTACTTTTTGGTGATTCTTGGTTGACTCTTGATCATCCTGAACAACTGTCTTTCAGCGACAGGTGATAATTTTTCATTTTCTTCCCGATCGTAGCAGTGACACAGCGTCTCACACACTTCATACTTATAGTTGGTTGCACGGATGGTTTTGGGATCTTTGAAATGGCTCCTGACTTGTTCAAGTCGGTGATTCGCTTTTCTCAGATCTGTCCAGAGCTCCTCATACTGTCACGTTTGTGCCTGACTCTAATGAATGGAGCCCTTTATAAACTGGCTCAGAAGAGTCACCACCTGTAGTCAATTGTAATCACTCAGAAGAAGATAAGAGGTCCTGCTACGAGGAAAATCGGATGACAACAACTTTGTACATCACCAGAACGGACAATCATTCAAGTTGCTATATGTATATGTTTTTGACTCTGATGATTTTGTCATATTTCCACAAGACCTATAAGAAATCTACAACAGAACCAAAATGACTGATTGTATTTGGTCTAGGGGTCTAGGGGTCCCCCCGGAAGAGCTGGGGGAGGTGTGTGCGGATCGGGAAGTCTGGGCGGCTTTGCTAAGGCTGCTGCCTCCGTGACCCGACTCCGGATAAGCGGGAGAAGATGGATGGATGGATGTATTTGGTGACAAAGACACATGCGTTTCAATCATAGAAAATGAAGAGTTATATGAGTCACTGGAAACTCAAGACTGCCAAACATGACTGAGTATGTCAACTTTTCATCTCAACTGTATGTTCAGTTTACAATGATCTACAAACCAAAGAAAAAAAATTCTGACTAGAATCACTGCTTCAGTCCCAACAAGTCCGTTTGGAGGCAGCTACAGAAGCACATTACATTCTACTCAAGGTGTTCCTGTTATTTTGTCCAACCCGGCTGTATATTCCCACTGGTGCTGTCAGCGTACAAGCCCCTCCAAACCCTTTTCCTCTCGTCCTCGTTAAACCAGCATCTGCTGAGGTAAGAGGCCTGAAACCCCCTACCAGACACACACACACTTTCCCCCTCCCTTCCTCTGCACTCTCAAGCTTGCCATCTGCCACAGAGTTGGACAAGACCCCACTAACACGGCAGACACACACACATACAAGCTTGCACCCTCATTTCCAGCCCTGGAAAACATCCCCGGTACAGATGCACATGAACGCACGCAAACACACACACACACAGCGCCATTCACGCACTGCCCCAAAGTTAGCCAGCCTGCATTTTTAATGAGGAGCCCCCCCATGAACAAAACAGCTTGCAGGGTCATAATGGGTTTTGAGAGAAACTCCACCCCGCCGCATAGAGCCGGTGAACTCCTCCCCTCCTCCGGCCTGACGAGGGGGGGAGGACAGAGAGGGGAGGACGGAGAGGGACAACTCTAATTACTCCTCTGTGGCTATCGGGGCCCTCTAGCATTTTTACTTCGGGAGCAAAAAGGAGAGGAAGCAGAACGGAAAGGAAAACAGAAGAGTGGTGCTGATTGAACATGAAACATCTCCCCGTGGCTCTCCCTCTCATCTCTCCATCTCTGCTTGTTGTACATAATGCCCTCTCGCTTTCGTCGCAATTGTTCATCACCCCTCAGTCATCCACAGTGAATAATAATGCTTCCTCTCAGAGACAAAGAGGCAGAGGAGCGGGCCTAAGGCCATGAATTCTGATGGTCTAAGCATTCCCCAGTCGCACTCGGCTCCTGCGAAAATCAACAGCGCGGCGGGGAAGGGAGGCGGGATGCTCGAGCCTCCTCCTCCTCCTGCATCCGTTTGTTTGTTGTGTTTTACTCATTATTTACAATCTGTATCACCCCCCCTCCAAAAAAAAAAAGAAACTCCCGCTGTATTGCTCCCTCCTCTTCCCTGTAAACAGAAGCAGGAGGAGAGACAAACAGTGGACCGCTGCTGTTGCCTGTCACAGAAGAGACCCGGGCGAATTAGCAACATTATGTCTGCTCTCTGGGGACGTTCGCTCTCGTCTGCCCCCGCCACGCTGCCATCATTGTCACTGTCACCCGGACGGAGGGGCAAAACAACACTTGAGGAGAGCTTCCTTCTCAGGGAGGCTAAACTTAAAGAGACAGCTGGGCCCCGCTCCAGAGTCACTGGCTATTTCAAAAAGGCTGCTCAGTTTATGGCAGCTAGCTTTTTGCGGGTCCATTTACTTTATTCCCTTTTTCTCGTGTGCCAATTTTCCCCGAATAGAGTCGGATCTATCATCTGCACCAGTCTACGGGTGACTGACACCTAAATTGAAGCTGCAATTATTTGGCTACATCGCAAAGCACGATGGAACGAAAAGGCATATTTGGTCATATTCATGCAATAAAAAAATCTTTTTTTGGTCGTACCCTACAAGCCCATTAAATTCTTTATAACCAGGCCGCGTGCAGCATTATGGTCCTGCTGTAATAGAAGCCATTAAAGACACATTATTTGGTTCACTGTGTCTTTCCACTGCCAGTGCCGATGTGAAGATGAAATGGGCCATTCTAATCCTCATTAACATAGCTAATTTCACATGAGAGAAAGTTGATAGTGGGTGTCAAAACCACTCAAAGGTCACCCAAGCAAGCTGCACTATTTAATAGGTGAGCGTGCATTTGGTCTCTGCAAATATTATATATGTTTGAACATTTATTGCATCTATATGTGCTGTTGCATATCCGGATTTGTCAAACACAACAGCAGACAGAACAGAGCCTGGTAGAATGGATAAAGCTGTCAAAGGCAGCAGATGATGGTTGATGATGCAGTAAGGAGCAAAGATGGGATGAAAACAAGGGATCGGGGGCACGTAGGAGGATAAAAAAAAAAGGAGGCATCAGACATTCATCCTCCCCTCGGAGGCTGTGAAGGGCTGCAGCTAACCTTTTGGTGGCGAAGATGAAAGTGGGGAGAACAAACACGTAACATGTTGCGCCTTCAACGGAGGCACTGGCACAAAGCCATGTCACAAGGGGAGGAAGGGACAAGTCTGACATTAGAGGCACGAAGATGCTGTCACATGACCTTTAAAGGGTAAATAACCGAGCATGGCACTCTTCGGGCCAGCTGTGTTTGGCTGCATGTCACATGTGACTGCATGCATAAGCGGAGAGAGATAAATCCAAAGCAGAGACACATTTGAGCTCTTAACCTCTGTGAAGATGATGTGTTGATCTTTGGATCTGGGCATTTAGGTCAAGACGGGGCTACAATATGCAGAAATGGACATTTTCTAGCATGTGTTTGCTGTTGTGGCTTTATTCCATTACATTTATATCACTTTTTGAACTGCAAATGACCAAAAGCATGCACTTTTTAGGACATTTTGTCAACTCATTATATAGACAACACTTGTTATGGTAAGATTTAAAGCTCCAGCATGCTGATGTCTGAGCATGAAGACACAACAAAGGCTGCATGCAAAGGCTCATTTGTTCCTTCTGGCATCAGGAGATGGAGAAAACTGTTGCCACTTGCTGACTGACTTTCTTGTTAAAAGCACTGAATGAAGCTGCCGGGGAGCTTCTAATGTTCACATTGAGAAAATAAAAGAAAGTGAAAACTCACTCAGCGACTCTCCTGCGGGCGGTGATGCTCGCTACGATGACGCTCTCCGGTCTCGGGGTGGCCACAGCCTTGAAAGTCCCCTTCCAAAACTTCTCAAAGAGCTGCTTCTCCTCCAGCTGCTGGAGGCTGCCGGAGCCGCCCGGGGACGGTGAGGGGCCACAGGGGCCGAGCTGGAGCGAACAAGGCGGCTGCATCTGCTCTTCTTGGTCTCCAAACCAAATCACTCATGAAAGCGACACACACACACTCTCACACACTCTCACACACTCACTGTGGCGGCGGTTGTTAGCTCGGGAACTGTCCAAGTACTGAAGCAAAGTGAGCAGAGCGCTGTTTGCTGCTCCGTCTTGCGCTCTTCTCTCGGCGGCGGGTCAACGTGTCAGCGCGTCTGTCTGCGCTTCGCTCCTGGAGCGGCAGCGTGGGGGACAAAAGCTTGACCCTCTCCAACTGCAGGCTGGGTATTGTTCTCCCAGATGAGGAGGGGTGGGATTGAGTTTCTCTCTCTCTGCCTCTGCCCTTCTGTCACATCTGCTATTCTTTGGGTCTCGGGCTGGAGCGCTCCTTTTCTTTTTTCTTCTCCCCCCCACCTCCACCTTGTAGTCGGCGGTTTCACACAAAATCAGGCATTCCTTCACAATAGATTGCTTGAGATGTAAGAGACCCAAATGGCTGTTGTTGCTGCTGGAGTGCAGTGTTTCTGGTGTGGAGGTGGTTGCGGGTGTCGCGGCGCGTCCGAGGCTCAGGCGTGGATGCGAGTTGGAGAGTGCGCGCGCGCCGGAGTGGGAAAGCGAGTGAGGAGCTCAGCTGAGAGCCGCTTGTTTTGTGTCTCTCGGCTTGTGACGTCAAAATTGGGGGGCTGGACCACGAGGAAGAGGGACACCCTTTCTGTCATCCTCTCTCTCTCTTTCTTTCTGAGCACTCATCTCACTATACCCTTGATGAGGTTCACTCCTCATCCTGACAGGTGCCAGCATCACTTCCTCCCTCCTCTTTTATTCCATGTGCCTTTCTTCCTTTCATTCCTCCTTCTTTCTTCCCCTTCATGTCTGCCATAACTCCTTCCATTCATCATTTCTTTCTTTCAACAATTAATTAGCTAAGAGTTTCTCTAATGATCAACAAATCTGTCACTTTTCATTGTTTCTGGACATGTTCATGTCACATCAGAGCTTTCTTGTGTTTTCAGTTGTCCTGCTCAGGAATAATAGAGCATTTTCTGTCCTATTCACTGATGAAGCATGATGCTGTGTGGTACCACTGTTGTGTTTCTGTGTTTAAAGTTTGTTCTCGCTGATATTTAAATACAGTCTGCACCAGTCTTTCTTTCTTGTCCCTCTTCCCTCACGCACGCTCCATCAACGTCCCGGACAAAAGGCCGAGCAAATCAGCATGACAAAAGGCCTGGCTCAGGGAGGACCAGCCGGAGCATGTGGCTGACACAAACCTCCCTTGGGGGGGTTTCAGGCTTTTTTTCCCTGCCGTCAGATACCTCCTCCTCCTCCTCCTCCTCCTCCTCCTCCTACAAGACACACAACACAGCTCCACAATCCCCTCCCCAGCCCTCCCTTTTCTCTCCCCTCGTCTCCGCTCTGTTGCTAATGCTGCATATCATCTGCTGCACTAACGCGCAGGACCCTGGGAGGGATTACCGACTGCTATGGGATGCCACCCTGTTTGGGCGACAACAACAAAAGTCTGTGTAATACTTTAAAGGATGAATACTATTTATAGACTTGTCGTAGCATGAAGCCGAGCTGATTAACTGGCGGTTTTTTAGGTGGAACAAGTTCACTTTCGTCACCAACACATTTCCCGCAAAATACTGCATGTGTCAGTGTGTGAGTATTTTCAAGATGGATTTGCAAAACAGATGCTTTTTATCTCAAAACTTCATCTCTCTGATTCCACTGGTTTAATTCATAACTGCTTCTATACAACAAATGATGTTCTAAATCCTTTCTTATTACGTCCATGTTCTATTCAACATACATCAGAAGTTAGTAAATCACTTGAACGATTCAAAATTGCATCGTCCTCAATAACTGCAGTGAATTTGAGTCGAACAATAAAGTATTTGCACTTATGTAAACTTCAAAACGAACCATTAATTTAAAATTCAGGCCCCACAGGAGGAACTCAATGCAACAAAAGTCATAACTGAGTTTCAAATCCTATATTTTTTTCAACACTACGTACGTCCCACTTTATTTTTAATGACAGACTCAATCCTCCTCGACATGGAGGATGACAACACATTTCTGACAGATTCTTTTTTTTTTTAACTTGCTCTTTACTGGAGAGGTTGTGTTGCTCTTGGCCAGATCTTAGTTTTTCCTTTTTCGAAGCTCTTGTGTGGCTCCGGCAGTGTGTTCTAGATGTGTTGGAATATTCTTTCTCAAGCATCTGTAGACTGGAAGTCATCTTGGCAACCAGTATTTTGGTACATCCACAGACTCATGGTGCCATCTATACAT